TTACCTCGACTTGAGACCAGCTCGAGTTGCAACCAGAGTCACGGAACGGATTAAGTTCGTAACTAGAGGTACCACTGTACAATGTACAATAAAGCATTATACAAATGTACATTATACATTTCTTTTAAAAGGGGAAGGGAAGAGAAAAGGCCTGTTAATTCATTCTTCAGTTCCAGTCATTTAACACAAAGTTCCGCCAGTGACCATTCGTTGCTATATTGAGCCTCCTTGATCAGAGAGGATTTTGAGTATTAGATATTAGGGGCAAACCATAAAAATGACTTGGCACCATGATTTCTATTTATTTCTTTGGAAGCTCCTCATATTCAGGCCACATTTCAATTAAATGCAGATGCATTTTTTTTTCCTGGGCTACTGTTCAGCTACATAGTATAAAGATACAGACTGTCACAGTAGTTGACAATAAGCCTCTCCTTAAATGCTTCTACTCTGTTCCATGAGCCTTTGGGTGGTGCTTACCAAGGCCCTTCCATGCATCCGTTCAGGCTGTGAAGGAAGCAGGGGGAAGTTCCACAGGCAGCTGGCGGCGTGTTTTTTACTAAACACATACCAGAAGCCAGTCAGTGTACCAAGTGGTTTCAAAGTAAGGCCAATTAGGAATGTAGCGGGTCTCTTTGGCCAATTCTGAGGTCATAAATAGAATCTCAGAACATAGTTTTCTCAGTGATATTGCTAATTTAATTAGTTTGGGTTTATTTCCAAATAGGATTCCATTTAAACAGTGACTTCAGTAATCGTAGATACCCGTTGCCAGTAAGTCTTAGTGGTGAGTTTCCATAAGCATGGGGCTGAGTACAGTGATCTGTGTTGCTGATTTCATGGAGAACTAAACTTGGCTTTAAACTTTGCTTCCAAAATGCATGCCACATATGCACAAAAATTTGCTGCTAGAAAAACGTGGAAATTGGCAGACACCAGGTGCTTTCAACTAAAGGCACCTAGTTCTAGAGTTGGGGAGCTTTGTAGTAGTAAGGGGCAAATCATTCAGAATTTGAATTGCTTCAAATTTAAAATGCACCATTTCAGGTTGGAAACCACTGTGTTAGGCCCCAAACAGGGTGTTTTGATAATTTTGGAAGTGCTTTGGGCTTGAAACATTTCCAAAAATTGAAATAAACGACTTCAAATGTTTCAAACTTGAAATATGACATTTCAAAGGCAGAATGATTTGAATTTGAAACACCCTTTGTAGATATTTGGAATAAGAATATGAAAATCCATCTATGAAAAATAAGAGGATGATCGTGCCAACAAAACATTTTGTTGAAGACTCGGGAATTACATTTCGGTCAGCTGCCAGTGTTAGTTTGTTCACTTTAACAGGGCTTTGATTGACTGTAGTGAGCAGGCTGTATCTTAAAAGTTCTAAATCAAAAGGTAGGGAAAAAATTAACCTGAAGCTACTCTAATTATTAATTGTGAAGATAATTAGCATTTAATGATTTATAACAAGTTTCCTACCTGCATAATATTTTGGGCAGGAGGTTGAAGAGGGAAAAACCCCTAAGATTCTTAATACTTTGATATTTCAGCATTTTAAATAAGTGCACATTTTGCTTTGAGAAAAAAGCTTTAAAGAAGGCAATATTCACTTTTGATAATTAATTTTAACATTGTCTTTTACCTTCAAAACATTGGAACAAATTTAGCTTTTATAGAGATTGTTTGTGCAGTATTAATTAGCATTCCCAAAGTAGCCTAACATGACATTACTTTAGCACTGTTTGAATGTTTTTCTCTTTAAGCCCCGTTAGTCACAAATATTCTTGTTCTTCCCATGCCAAGAATGCAGTACTGGTAGAAATGCTAGGCTGTTGGAATTTTTCAAGAGTAAGGCATCTTATTTTCCAGAAATACTCCATATTTCTCTGTCTGTGTTGTGCTTGAGCGCTTACTTGCAAGGGCACATTGTAATTTCTTTCAACTGTTAGAACGCTTGTGCTTCTGGACACATACAGTAATATTCCAGTATTCAGTGCAGGCTGTTGGTATTTACTGCTTTCAGATTTCTGTTGAGCACCTTTTACAGTGGTACTCTTATTTTCCTTTATGGAATACCCTTCCCATAAAGTAAATTGTTTTTAACGGTTGTGGTACAATGGAACAGATCAAGCCTTTATCACAAAGTTAGAGGGCTTGTTAAGCAAGAAAGACACTTCAGCAGAAATCTTACTGACATTCATTCATTGCATGTTGTGAGGTTCACTCTGAAATGCTCCTATCTCTTCCCCATCCTGTCATTTCCCTTTCATTATTTTGAAGCATTAGAAAGAAGTCCCATAATTGCAGCTTGGGGACATAACACTTTCATCCTGACATACTCCAAAGGGAACAACCAAGCACATGTTTAGATGGTTTAGATTCTACACTACTAGAATACCATGGCTATGAAACAGTCGGGTTGATTGCAGACACTTGCTTCCCAGAGTGGACAAACAAAAGAATTACTCAGATATGAAAAGAAGAAAAGTTTCACTCAGTGAGGTTATAGTTAACCTCTTCAGAAACATGTAAAGTCAGAGAACTGGCTGGGAATTATAGTATTAAGGAAGAAAAAAAAATGTTCCAGTAATTATCTAAGCAACAACTCTCTCTCTCTCTCTCTCTCTCTCCCCCCTCCCCCTCCCCTTCCCTCCCTCTCTCCCTCTCTCTGTGTGTATCAATCTATCTTTGGGATTTCTAATGTCCTTTTTTGTAAATATTCTCACCAAAGAGTTCTGGTGTGTCAGAGATCCTTGAGTGGTGTGTACCTTAATGCAAGTTCATTTTCATATGTCTAAAGTGGTGTCCTGTCTAAAGAGCAGATGCACATACACACACATACACTGTGAGTATATTAATGTTTTCAACTTATGCCAGACAAGAAGTGGATAACATTAGGGTGGAAAACTTTAAAGAACAGATTCTATTTAAGAGGGAAAGTAAAAGACAGTGGAACAGAAATTACCTATATACACACTTTTCATACCTTACCTTTCTTCAGTCAAATGGTGTTTACAGCAAGTAATTAAATTTGCTAAAACTACCAAATATAAATAAATTACAAGTGGATATTAAAATCTAAATTACCAACTTAATAAAACAGATCAAAAGTGTAAATAAATGTGTAAGAACTATAAGAAAGAAAGTTGGGGGAAAAGAGTTGAGTCATTACAATGACCCACAGATGTAGAATTAGCCTATCTTCAAAGCTACACTGGCCTAAGATTGCAAGAAATAATTGGCAACTGTCTCTGCTACAGTACAGGTAGTCCTCGTTTAGTGACCAGAATTGGGACTGGCAACTTGGTCATTAAGCAAAGCGGTTGCTAAGTGAAGTATCATGATTTTACAGTTTTACTTCCGCTTTCCTTTGCTTTACAGACCTGCGAAGGTCGTAAATGCAAGGACTGGTCGCAAAGTTACCTTTTCATCACTGTCCTAACTGCAAACGGTTGCTAAATGAGGCAGTTGCTAAATGAGGACTACCTGTAGAGCAACTGTTACGTTGTTGCTGTGGGTTGGTGACTGATTCCAACTCTCTTTTATGCATACTTGCATGGATGTGCGCAAGTCTTTGGACACTCATTCTCTTTTCTTTCATAAATCCTTCTAAGAATTCCTCTAAAAGTTCTCAGTCTCTCTGTTGTCCCTCCAACCTCCTGCTTTCTGCCCTTCTCAACTCTGGAACTATGATATCCAAAACAGCTAATAGAATCCAAGGAGAATAACTAAAAATAATGTTTAAAAAAATAGAAAGCCACTGAGCAAGCAATATTTTTATAATGTAAAGCTGCAACAGAATTAAAAAGGCTCTGAAAATTGTTTGCCTAAACCCAATGGTACAATAGCCCACCCATCACTTGGTTTCATATTTTCAAAATGTCATTGCATCAGTCTTTTAGCAGAGAAAAGAGTACAATGAAACAATCCAGAAGGATATAGAGAATTAAACATATATTACATGCCAGCTTATACAACTACTTTGTTTAATAAATTTTTATAACACAAGATTATTCTTCCATGCTACTTGCAAACTTAAAGGATTGCCACTTTTTCAAGGCGCATCTGTCTCATAAAAAGAGGCAGAGAGAAACACCCCTCAGTGCTCTAAAAGTTGTTCTTCCACTGTACAGTTACAGTATCTGTACCAATATTGTCACACTGGAGTACTAATTCAAGAGATTATACTGAAGGAAATATGTGAAAAGGATTCTGCCTTGGTAGGAGTTAGTGTACATCTGGAGTCTTTCGAAACAGTCGCCTATAAATGATAGAAACACACATCGAAACAGTAGTGCTAACACATGACCTAATTCACTCTCATTTTACAATTACAATACAGATGCAATCACAGGGAGAAGCTGATTTTTGACTTCCAGATGTGGCTTTCTCCTGGTCATCAATTGTTTAGGGAGGGCCTGTCTCATTCATTTCCACTCCAAATGTGTAACTATCGCAAACCCCTTAGAAATGAAGCTTCATACACTGGATGCTTGTAGTCCCTGTAATTTTTTCTTTAACTTAATAGGGTTAGCTTTGATTGACTAAAATACCTAATGGCGTAGGTTATTTTATTTAAATATCAGTTATTTACAAAACAAGCTGAATTTGCTTATTGGATTGTGTTATAATTATTTACATGATATTGCAAATAAAATCAAACTTCCTTCATAAAGTCTCTTCAGAAGTCACCACTTACTGGCAGGGACATTTTTACATATGAAAAGCCCCCAAACAATAAAACAAGGGGAAAGTAATTTGTATTTGTAAAGGGGTTCGTTATGAATATGATTTACGGACAACATTTTTCAAATGTTATCATGCCCATTTTGTATAATCAACCCTTGATCCCTTGTGGGTTATTCATATGCTATTCTGTAATGAGAAATTTGGCAGATCTCATCTCCTTAGTGCATCCTTAGTGCCCACCATGAGCTGAGGATCATGTTCTGCCTTGTTTACAGCTGACAGCGCTATTATTCTCATTAGGACTCTGCTTTCTTATCATATTGTTGTGTTGAGCGAGCCTTTTCCTCTCCGTTTGTGTTTCCTGGCAGGGCTTTTCTTCCCTTATTGACAGTTTGTAAAAATATGCATTAATTTGGAGTTTAAAGCATGTATCATGGTGTCTCTTTGCTGTGTTTGCTTGAAGTTGATTAATGATAGACCCTCACTTGGGGTCGTCCTCTGGAGACTTCCCTCACAGGTTATGCATGTTAACTAGAAAAGCAGAACACACAGTAACCGATGATTAGCCTGGCCTCCAGAAGCTCAGTAGGCTGATAAACCATGAAAACCAACCTTTACAGATGCTTATTTCATTTATTTATCTGAAGATTATATTAATCAAGCTAATGTGTCACTTGAGAGCATTTTCTCTGAATCTCAAGAAGAAATCCTAAGCTATAGCACTTGCTGTTTTTCCCTCTTGAAGCCCAGTATTCTTACACATATGAAGTGTTTCATTACTGGCAGCCAATCTAAGTTGCAGAGCGTGAATTGTACATGTGACAAAAATGAGAGGGATGGGTTGGAAGAAGCTATATTCCATAACAACCACAATAGGAGGGATTTCAAGTAATTTAAATGTTTATTCTTTATCGTTCTATTTGTATCAATACCTTTCTTACTTTGCTGGAGAGACTGTACTTCCAAATTCTCGAACATATTTAAAAACAGAATGCTAATTTCTCTAAGATTATAGGTGTCTCACCAGATGGCAGCACCAGGTTGACCATGTCTGGCCGGGAATCTAAGCAGAGTCAGGCCTGATTAGTACTTTTTTGAGAGACCTTTTCGGAATACCAGAATACCAAGGGTGCATTGGGTATTTAAAAAAAGAAATCCTGAAGATAGTAAAGCTCTTCTGTATTGTTGCCAAAAAACATTTGGTTGTGTCTATGAAATCACCAGAAATAATGCTGGACTTTTGTTAATACAGAAGTCAATAGTTTTATATTATGCAAAGTTTAATATATTTGAATTGTTTTACCCTGATTTTTTTTTACCTAAACAGCTTTTTAAAAACAGACAAGTAAGTTGCTCATCCACCGTTTTTCTGTGTGTGTGTGTGTGTGTGCATTTTTTTACAGACATCCTGTGCATGTCAAAGAAGAGCCATTAGATCCAGATGAAAATGAAGGCCCGCTCTCCTTAGTTACCACAGCCAATCACAGTCCAGAATTTGATCACGACAGAGATTATGAAGATGAACATGTAAATGAAGACATTGAATAAATATGTCTGTGACTATCATTCTGCAAATGAAGATCCTGGGGAGGGACGAAAAAAACTATCTTTCAGAATTAGCTGTGAAATCTCTCCCCATCATTGTACAGTCTGGAAGATACACTTGGTCCATTCTGACAGCTATAAAATATGTTAACACTTAGTGCCATCAAGTATCCCATTTGGGAGTATTTTTGATTTTTCTACTTTTTGTTGAAAAACAAAACAAAGGAATTTGTACTCTGTGCATTGGATGGACTTGTTTGGTACTCGGAATTCCTACTCACAGTCAACATCAGTGTTGTAAATGTGTTCCACTAATTCACTTATCCACAACTTGGCAGCAGACTTTGGACTGCAGATCTTCCACTATGGGACACTGAAGACATGAAGCTGAGCATGTACACATAAATTGCAGATCAAGCCTTTGCCCAGATTTTAAGGATTTCAGTGGACAATATATTTGCACAGTATCGCATGTTGATTATCACTGCCTTTATTTTTATTTTTTTTGCTTCCATTTGGGATGGGGAAATCTTTTTGAGTGTGTGTGTGTGTATACTAAAGGGTTAAAAGAAGAAAACTTTTTTTTTAGTGTATAGCTTTAATTTTTTTTTTCCTCCTAGTTCTCCTATACCTTTTTAAGTTCTGACCTCAGGCCTCAATTGGCCAGGGCCTTTTGAGGCTTAATGTTTTCTGTACTTTTGTGATGAATGTTAATAGGTGTGTTTATTATACAAAGCTGAATGTTCTTTGAATTGTTTGTAGTTCTTTTTCTGCCATCCATTCCAAATTTCCTTCAGATGCCATCATGTTTTCTTTAGCTATGGAAAACATTCCATTTTGGACTATATGCCCCCCACACCCGACTCTGGAAAAAGTTCTAAAATGCTGCTGTGACCTGTGCAAAGTTATCTTACAACAGAAAGAAAGGCAGTAATGCAAGAGTGAGAATGAAAGGCAAACCAGCATCAAAGCTGTAGAATGTGGTTCTAAAGTCATTCCACAGAGCGTGCATGTGTGTGTGTGCACGTGTGTATATACACATGCACATAAAACCATTGTTTGCGTTTTTTTCCATTGGTTTTTCCTTGTTTGCAGCAATAGTGAATATTTAGAAAGACATTTACAGCCCCTTCAGAAAGTGCACACCCTACAGAAGTTGTCAAAAATAAGTATAACAGTAGTAAGGCTTTTATGCATTTAACTTTTTAATATAAATTTCTGGGCCAATCAGATCTTTCTGAAATATGTCAGCGTATGTCCTATTAGACTCTGATTTACCCACATCCATCACAGAATATTGTTCATGGTAGTTCTTCCAAGTTAAGTTGTTTGAGATTAATTGGTGGCATCCATCAGTTTGATTTCAGTTTTTCATTCAATTTGTTGGGAAGGCAATAAGGCCCATTAGTTTGTTAAGTGTTAGTAATTTTGCCATTGCAGTTAAGATCATTACACAATATCACACCGACCAGTGTAAAACAAACAGTCTGAAACCTGTGGGTAAACTAGCGCTGTTGCAGACGACAGTGTTCTCCAAAGCAAATGTGGGCAGACGGCTGCAGTTAAAATGTTGGTACCCCTTTATCACCAAACTTCTAGTGACTTCATTCTCTAACCACTTTTCAGTAATCCACTCATTTATGTCGGACTATAGCTTTTAATTTCAGAAACCTTTCTGATCTTAATTTATATTCTACTTTGTACCCCTCTCCCTAAAGTTACCAAAGATATTACACAAAGTAAATTATGTTCTCTGTTATATGCTTTATCTTATGAAAGCCAAATATCCTCTTATTGTTGATCAAAGGAGGTTAAAGAATTTCGAAGCAAATGACAAGATAATGGGCTACAGCTAACCTGAGAAGGAAAACTGCTCCTTTATTAAAGTATAATTTAGAAGACCAAGTAGATGGCTGAACCAAAGTTTTTGCTGTTGTCGTTTTAATTTGTTTTTCTTTACAGTGACCAAATGTATTTCTGTAAAGAGAGAGCTTTTTAGGCTGAGAAGTTAGAGAATGATACCTTGAGAAGGGCACCATTTGATGTTGAGGAAATAGGAGGAAGGCTTATCTTGCCGAAAAAAAACTAGAACGACCTGAAATGGAGAGAGTTACTTGAAATACGAAAGAGCACTCATGACTGAAACTAAACCATACCATAATTACTGAAGAAATTGTTGGTATGTTTTTGCTTGGGGTTCGGCCTATTCACTTCTGCTAAAAGCCAGCGCCAGGGCAATTCCTTGTTAACGTTGCCTACCCGTGCCCAAGATTTGAGAATGACTGTGGTGGTGGTTGTGCTGGTCTCTGCCCATCCCTTTTTGTTTTGGGTCCTCATCTTATAGGGAATACCCCTGTTCCTTTCTAAGCTTTGGTACCATTCAAGCCAATGGGAGGTTTGCCATTAACTTCAACTGGACGTGAATAGCAATTTTTTCTTTTTGTTCTGTTTTGTTTTCTTCTGTTTTTGCCAACAGTGAACTATAGAAAGCTTGTTTTTTTTCCTGACATCCTTTTTCAAAGGAGGGCGGTCTGTAGTCATTTGAAATATTTTGGAACACGCCATATTCAGGCAGCTCCATAATGTGCAGGCAATAACCAGAGGGGATCACGAGACGTACCTGTCCCTGTGGTTCAAAGCTGAGTGGTTTTGCTGGTTAGCTTGGTATTCGAAAAGGGGATAAAAATCTGGTAGATTAGTTCATTCTCAGCATGTGTAGCTAGACACGAGTAAAGATAACAGCATGAGAAACTGTTAGTACGCATACCTCAGTTCAAACTGTTAGGGAATGAGTTAAAAAAAAAAACCTACATTTCACTCAATTGCACTTAGTTGTATGTCTTGCATGCATAGACTAAAGACTGTAGCAAAATTTAAGAAGAGAAAAAAGAAAAGAAAATTTTTAAAAACTTACCATACCTTGCAGGTATCACTGCCCTGCAGAAGAACCAAGAGAAGATCTCAGGCTTTACATCAAGCAAACTACGCTATTTTTACAGATTTCTGATTCTGCGTCCCTTTGGATCATAACAATTGCTCCTCTAGGGTCGGGTTTATTATGTTGTACATATATAGCCCAATGTGTCTCTGTGATCCCGTTTTGTCTTTTGGCGGGTGGGGGTGGGTTGGCAAGGGAAGAAAGGAAAAGGGGGGAAGACGGTCCTCTTTTTTTAAAAAAAAAAATCATTCCTCAAAAGGAATTAATGCAGATGTTTGTCAAAACACCTTTTGCTTTTTCTGCAACTGCTTTATATTAACCATACTTTGACAAATGCTTTGGAAAAAACCTACTGTATGTAATGGAATTGCAGAATATGCTGCACATGTATTTCATTTAGTTACCCTTGCTTTAAAGACTGTGGGATGCCATTTGCTGACATGTGGGAGAAAATCCCAATCTCTTTGTTTTCGTTTTGGTAGATTTTTTTCCCCCCCGTTGGCTTCTAAAACTGTAACATAGTAGGCAGATTTTTTTCCTCCCTCCGTCACAGATCAAATCATGTTTGTATAGGTTTGTTTCAGAGATTTGGTTTTTGAGATTTTTCTGTTTCTGTTTCTGTTGTTCTTATGCTATTTGTTCTTAAATACTTTCTCCGCCTCTTGTTATCCCCATCACTGCCTATTTGGGCGACCTTAAGGAAAAAAGAAAAAAAGGTTCAAAAGTTGTTTTTTTTTTTTTTCCTGCTGCAGTAAATACTTTGCATGATGAATTCCAAGGTCACACTTTCAAAAGTTTATCAGTGAAGTAGTGATTAATAATGGAAAGTGTCAAAACTATTGAACTTTTGTATAAAATGAAATACTTTACAAGGTGCCAAGATGTAAAGACAGTTTGTTACATGGGCTTTGTTTTTGTTTTCCTTTCCTCGCAAAGAAAAGCAAGCGGGATGCCAGTAGGACCGCGTGTCAGGTGAAACTGCTGTTAGGAATGAGTCAAAGCCTACCTTGCTCACCCCCACGGCCCGGCACCGGGCTGACTGGGCCGCCTTGCCTTTCCCCTCCGGAACGTGCCCCGGCTGCCGCCTGCCCGCCCGTCACGCGTTGCTGGTCTCCTGCTGCAGCACAGGAGGGAGGGGGCTCTTCCTGACCAGGTGGCTTCCAAATACAGCAGCAGGCCTGCAGCCTCCTGCTCTATTTGTCGATCTCCCGACGGCAGGGAACACCTACCACAGACTCAAGGGTTAGATCTGGTGGATCCTTTTCGCCTGCAGTAAGAAAGCTCCACAAGCAGGCACCTCATTTTGTACAAAGACCATCCTTTCCTTCAATTAGGACAGCACAGTTCAAATGCTTCAAACTTACTGGATTTCTGTTTCCTACCAAAAGCAGAAGAAGAGCGGAGGGAGAGAATCAAGGCTCATGCTTAAGGGTTGTTTTTGTTTCGTTTCTGGTTTTTTTGTGGGGGGGGCAGAATCTCCTTGAGGAGATTCCAACCATAATATCCATGATCAGGGGTGGGGAAGATGAATAAATTGTATTATTCTTCAAATAATACAGATCATTAGATATTTTTTATATATAAATATATATATCTCAAAGTTTTTAAAAAAATAATTTTGAAGTATTGTAGTTTTCAGAATGCTGACAAGCTACATTCCTTATAACAGGGAGAATGTGTTTTAAACTCTTGGAGAGCTTTTGGTACATTTTGGTTAACAGACTCGGATAGAGTTTTTAGATGTTTTAGATATAATTCCTCATTCTTAAGTCTTCAGAATTGCATTTGCTGATCTAGTCTACATTTTTAAACAAATCCGATGTAGGTAACAGACTATCTCCTTCCTATAAGCCTTGATGAAAATGGTACAGTCAGACTGTTAGCATGGTGCTTCATGTGTATGTGCTGCCAGTAATGAGATTCTCCTTTTATTTTATTTTTAGGCATACAAGAAACTCATTCCTTACATCAACTGTAATTCCATCATTCCATGTCTGTTGATGCAGACAATAAAATGTTATGTAGTCAGTACTTATTACTGACATTATAGCATTCTCTAATGCAATAAAAGTGCTGGTTGTTCACACTGGTGATACATGTTGCCATGGGCTACGTGTTTTTGCTTTCCCCTTATGTGCAGATGCAGTATTAAGTCCACGTCACCTAAGCCAGCCTCCACCTGTAGACCTTTATCAGCAGGTGCTCAGCAGACATTCAGTGGTCATTGCCACGCCAGTGATAGCGTGTCGCCCAGAGTCATTGACCTATCACTCTACAAAACAGTAACAAGGACAGACTTTCTGTCACTTTAGGAATGATTGAGTAATTCTGCTGTTAAGTGATTACTGTATAAATTGGTGACAACCTTACAGAAATCATGGCGCTTTTACCACATAGAAATGCAGTAGAACAATGTTTCCTGAAGTGTGGTCCTAGGACCCCTAGGGGTTCCCCAAGACCCTCTCAGGAGTCCTCAGAATCAAAATTATTTGCCAGCCTGTGTCAAAAAATAATACAATATTAAAATCCCATCGGACAGGTGCGAGGAGCGGTAGCAGCAGCGAATAC